CTTGCTTGCTTGCAAATTGCCCTTGCTAGACTACTTCAGTATTATATTAAATAGAAGTGGCCAGAGCAAATATTCATGTTTCATATTTGATACTGGGGGAGTGCATTTATTCATTCACTGTTAAGTATGATGTTTTTGTACATGCCACTCTTTCATGTTGAGGGAGTCCTCTTAAATTCTACATCAGGTAGTACATCAGGTTTATGTTTATCATGAACATTTAATATAAGAGTACATTGTACATGCCCGGTGCTGAATATATAATCATGTTTCTTCCTTAAATCTGGTAAGAATGGAAATGGCATTTCTGTCCTTTTCTATTAGTTCTCTTAATGAAACAACTTTTTTTCTTTAATTAAGACTAAATGCTATTGGCATTATTTTATAAGGTCTTACTTTGTTTCATCTTGAAGGAAAATGTTTAACTATTTTGAAACAAGTTTTTAACTGAAGTATGATTTGCATATATCCTCATAAAGTACGCAGACTTTCATTGTATATAGGTATACTTGTTTAACCTCCATCCCAATCACGTTTAGATTTTGAAACTCTTTTTCGCTATAAATTCTTCACTTTATCCTTATCTTTTATATACATGATTGTTGCCTGTCTAATAGATCTTATGAAATTTAAAAAAAGTCTAAATTTTGTTTTTATTTCATTGATTTACTGAGGAATACACATTATGATTAGTGAGGTATATTTGCTCATGTATTTTCAGTTATCAGCTTTTACTTAACAATACCTATATTGTGTTTAAGATAAATGTCTCATTTAACTTTTAAAACTCGCTTACCTTTTAAAACAGAAAGGTGTTGTCTCCATTTTATAGGAAAAAATGTACAGTTTAGATAATGGTAATTTTAAAATTCATGTAATTAGCTATTCTGTCACTGGTTCATTTTCTTCTTACTTCCTCTATAACAAAACATATGGATTATTTTATCCCCAGTAAAGATTTTATCTTGTTTATTCTTTGGTACATCTAAGGAAAATCCAGATTTACTTTGTACATGAAAGATCTGTTTCATGCTATCAATCTGAGAAAATCAAATATTCTTCAAGGCTTCTTATGTTGGTCAATGGGATCAATCTGGAACAGCCTCCTAAGGCTTTCGTCCCTGGAGAACCTCTGGACTAGTAGCTGATACAGAAAAGAAATGACTTCAACAGTGCTTTTTAAAAACAACGTGGTATAAATTATCTGACATAATTTTTGTGCTTTCGTCACTGGAGAACCTCTGAACTAGTAGCTGATACAGAAAAGAAAACGACTTTAATGGTGCTTTTTAAAAACAATGTGTTATAGATTATGTGACATAATTTTTGCCACGCAGTCTATCATTCTAAGGCAAACTATAAAGTTAACTCCTTACTGGAATTCTAGAATTTTATTTTTAATTCTTTCCAATGATGCCTTGTTATTTAGCATAGATGAATGTGACTTCCTCCACACAATTGACTTATTTCCTTATATGCTGAATTACTACTATTTTGTGGATTGTTTCTTGAATGTAATATTTCCTTCTGAGATATTTGTAGCATTTTTTAGGTATGGATATGACCTTTTAGTAATATTGTGTTCCACATCTAATAAGGTCTCAATAGCTGTATGGACTTTGAATCTGCTTTGATTTCTTTGGGCTTAAACTAAGGAAATTTAGATTTGTTAGTCTGTAGATGGAGTTGTAGTATTTGAACATTATTAAGTTAGATTACATTGCTGCATTCTCTTTCCTGTCTCTTGGCTGTCATGTTGTACAAAACGAGGTATTCTTTAATTCATATACATGAAGTCCTCATGTGACCTCTAATTGCTGATGTATCTAAAATAAGTCATGTTCTCTCTGTGAAACCTTCTCAACTAAATTCTCATCCTTTCTGTGGGAATTGAAATAAGTAAAAAGAAAATTAATTTTACTTAATGAAAATTGTGCCAGAATTCTTGAAGAATATAATTTAGGAAGGTTTGAATTGCTTCATTAATACCTACATGTGATTATATATATAGTCTCACTCTCACTTCTTTACTGCATGTGTAATTTTTTCATTTATTCACTTACTTTTCTTCAGGTACAAAGAATTTTACGTGAACGATTTTGTCATCAGTGTCCAGATAGTAATCTATTTGGAGTACAAGTACAATATAAGTAAGTTTAGATGTACTCTTGTCTGTTATAGACCTACTTATAGAAGTCCTTTTACTTACACAAATTTTATCTTCTAACAGAGCTAATGAACATTTTTATAGAGGTAAAAGTCAAAGAAACAAGTAAAAGCAGAAATAACTGTTTCCAAAATGAAAGTCCTTTGATTTTAGAATTACATCATTTTTGTTATCTTGTACAAGAAAGAAAATTCTGAGCTTTTTAATGCAAACTTTTGCCAACAAAGCTGTGGTGTCAGAGTCCTCTAAGAGTTGCGATTGTTGTCTCTTGTCCCATAACATAAAACCATGCTTTTTCGATTTATTTGGTTTCCTCTTGAGATTTCCAAAGTCACTATTGACCTACGACTATTTAGAGCATAAATCAGATGCCCAGAGGGAGAGAAAGAATGCCTTTTTCTATATTTGTTCGAATTCCGCTTTTAAGAAGTATCACCTTACAAATTATTATAGCTGTGTTTTGTAAAATTTGGCCTATTTCTGACATTTCAGGCACCTTATTGAGCTGCTAAAAAGAACTGCTATCCATGGAGAAAGTAATTCTGTTCTCATTATTGGACCCCGAGGATCTGGAAAGACCATGGTAAAAGTTGTTTATTTCTTACAAAATGTTGTAAAAATCAACTGTTATAAAAAAAAAAATTTGAAGGATGTAAAAAAATTAAAAAATATAATGATAAATAAATGAAAAAATAAAAATTTGAAGGAAAATAAAACTTAATAAATAAAATATCTCAAAAAAGTTGTTTATTTCTGGTAGTTTTTTTGTTTGTTTGTTTTGCATTGGTAGACAATTATCTAATGCATGATTTTTATAGAAAACACTAAATATTTCATTTTGTTACTGACCTTTTTGTTTTGTTTTGTATCTGTGAAGTTATGTAAAGCCATGTAATAGTTGAGTTAAATATACGTATTTTAATCTTATTTTTACCTACAGTTAGTTTTCAGTTGTTGTTTATTCTATCACAGCCTTTTGTCCTTAAAAACTTAGTGATTGCCAGTGGAAAAAGCAAAACCACACTGACTGAGCCTGTGCTTTGTTCCTTTTATCTGTTTTCTAGCATGTATTTTTTATACTGACTCTGCAAGTTATTGTTTCTGTTTTTCATAGCTTAACTAAGTAAGCTATCCCATGCATTCCTTTTTTTCTTTTTATTATTATTTTTAACCTTGATTTAAGCAATTGTTATGTGTAACTAACATCTTCTAGAATTATCTCCTCCTTCTATAATAATAATTTGCTTAGTTATTTCAAAAGATATTCTTGCTGTTCCCCGTATTCTTTCTTTTCACATTTTTTAAATTCAATTTAGGGGGTAAATTATGGCATTACACTTAAAGTATTACTTTTTAAATATGCTATATACAGTATTTTTCCATTACATTCCATGCAACAGATTTAGATTTCACATACATTTTAAATCTTGGTGTATACTGAAGTAAAACTACGCTTATATTTTTATGTAATACAGTTTGACTCTACATTATATAAGATGAATAAATCAGGACTTCAGGATTTTATTGTTAACACCCATTTCCAGTAATTCTAGATAACTTTTTTTAGTAGTTTAAGAAGTTTTCACATTTATTTTGTTATAATAATACTTAGAATAATTGTTTACTTTTATCTCTTGAGTTCAGTTTGGTTTAGTGCTATGCCCGGTCATTCTATGAATACTATTTCTTTTTTATTTTTGAGTTTTTGTTATGACTTTTCCTTTGTGTTTGACTTAAGCTAATTTGGGTAATTTTTATACAATAACTATCTGGCTATGCTTTTGAGCTACTAGAGTACTTTAGATTATTAACAGTAATTCTGTTAATAGAATTAACGAGCAAAGGCTATGCACATAAAGATTACAGAAAATTGAATACAATTATTCTGGAGCCTGTAATCATTGAAATTTCACTCATAGTTAAGTAAATTAAATAGAAAGTATACTAATTTTCTCTATCAAGTTGACCCCAAACCTTTAGGATTGATAATAATTTGTAAACTTACAAATATGTGCCTGCCACTTATAATAAGCTTTATTATACAACTAGAATTAGAAAAAAATAAATAAATAACACTACTTATAAATGCATATATCCTTGTTTTCTAGCAACAACACTTCTAGGAATTTACACCTGTGAAATAACATAGAGTCATTCATTGCAGCTATGTTGTTAACCATGAAAGATGAAAAGCAATGCAAATGCCCATCAGCAGCTTACTGGTTAAGAAATCATGGTATTTTTACCATATTATAGACTATTATGCAACAGTAGAAAAGAGTAGGGAAACAAAATTTGTATTTCTACTGATTGGTACAATAACTGAAAATTCCCTGATATGTTAAGCAATATTACAGTGCCTTTTTTATTGTTAAGGGGGATAGGACTTAGGCAAATTGAGAAGAGATATGTCTTTTTATACTTTTTGATACTTGAGCTGTATGACCATACAATATTATTATTATTATTTTTAAAGATTGATTTATTTATTTACTCATATAGAACTGGGGTACAGGCCAGAGATGCGGAGGGTGAGAGGATTCACCAGAGACAGAGCCGGGAGCAGAACAGGCAGATCCACGAAGTACACTGATGAGGGGAGCAGCGGGCGAGTCAGGAGAGGTCCCCCTCGCCATGTGGATCTCCTCCGAGGCAGGCGGGAATCGAATTCATACGGAAGTGGCTTAAGCTTCTTAGTGCTGTGCTTTAACACGCTGTGCCACCAGGGAGGGCCCCATACAATATTATTTTTAAGAGAATGAAAAATTATTTGAAGGCAAGGGAGAAAAAACACAAAAACCTACTTAGCAGAACAAATCACCAAATCATTCAGACCAAAGAAATAGAAAAGACAGCTTAGTAACATCAGGGAACTTAATTTAAAAAAAAAAAAAGGCATTATTTTAAATACATCAGTGGTTAATTTTCACATAACTTACAAGATGTTTAGAAGCTGAAACTCCTGGATCACAGTTTTTTTCCTCATTAGTATTATATGGGATTTCTTTATGTTCTGTGGGTAAACTCCAAGGGTAAACTTCTCTTTTGCTTTAACAAACTACTATATCAATCTGAATAGTCTAGATTATGCTTTTAAGCAACCCAAATTCTCATGGTCTAATTACCAAAAAAAAAGTTTGGATTCAAGAATGGGTAGTGATTATTTCAACTTTTTTTCCCCATACTAACCCCACTAAGGGGGAAGAGGATGATGAATCATGGACACAGTTCCTACCCAAATGTGATACAGATCAGATCTTACTGGACAGAGTGATTCATGTGGTCACACCTAATTTTTTTAAGAGCATAAGAAAGTACATTCCTCCTATATGTCAAAGGAGATTAACCCAGAGTATTTGGTGAATGTCAGTTGTGCTCACCACAACTTAATTTGATCTTGTGTGTGATTTTTCCTGTCTGGCTGCTTGTCAAATTTATCATAGGAAATTGAAAATGTTCGGACTGTGCCTAACTACTATTCATAAAAATTGGTACTCTGTAGACTCTTTTAATACAAGTCAATAACTTTCTTCAGTATAGTTTTCATAAAATATCATGTAAATATTTGAAGAACATCTTTAGATAATATATTAATTCCTGAGTACTAGTCTTTCTTGTGTCAGAAAAGAAAATGAGATGTAGGAAATCATTGCATTGGACCTGTTATTCTATTATAGAACTATCTTCAAATAAAGTGGCAAGTACATCAGAGAAATGGACTCTCGAGATACTTTGTACTTCAAAGTTTCAAACTTAAAAATATAATGTGAACAGCTAATGATTGAGTTTATTCTTAACATCTCCTTAGAAGTTTTTTCTTAACTGTATGGAGAAAGTTCAGGGAAAAGGAGCTAAAGCTAGTAAACACTTAGAAAATGTTTAAGTAAGTATAATTGAACTGTACTCCATTTTATTAGAAAATTGGCTAAAATATGTGTATTTTTTACATTTTAAAAAAGCAGATTCTATAGCATTTAAGTCCCTCTTCCTACTTTTCTACCTTCCTCTGATCTTGTCTTTAGGTAGTTCTCTATAAAGAATGTCACTTCCCACCTTGTCTTTTGCTCACAGTATAATAGCTGGTAATATTCAGATTGTCTCATTTTTAAAAGAAGCTAGACTACCTGTATTGTGGTAAAACTCAGTATGCTTTAAGGAATCTTATAAATATACCACAAATGACTAGAATGTTTCATGTCTTGCTTTGAGACCTAGTAATTTAAAATGAAGATATTGGCCTCTTATTGCACAAAGATGTTACAAGAACAAGTGGAAGTAGAATACTACAAATACGAATACAATTATTTTGTTTTTCAAAATAGTTTACCAGTAGTCCCAGTGCCTTTGTTCACTAAATTTTGATGCTATCTTTACCAATATTTTTTATATATAACTTCTTTTCCTGAATGTACCTTTTTACTTTTGTGATAGTACCCTTTTAATTTTAATTTAATACTGGAAGATGTACTCCAGCATTATTCTTCCTTTGTAAAGCTTTTTGGCTTTTCTTATTTGCATTCCCTTTCAATTTTAATTTTATTTTTTTAGATTTATTTATGCATACTGAACTGGGTTTCAGGTCAGAGGTGCAGGGGTGGTGAGAGGATTTGCCAGAAGCAGAGTAGGGAACAGAACAAGCAGCTTGATGAAGTATACTGTTGAGAGGAAGAGTGGGCAGTTCAGGAGAGGTCTTCTGTGCCATGTGGGTCAGCTCCCTGGCTGGGAATTGAACCTGTACAGCAGTGGCTGCAGACAGCTTCATAGTGCTGTGCTTCAATCCCTTGCACACTAGGGAGGCCCCCCCCCTTTCAAATTTTAAAGGATTATGTGCAGTATTTAATATGAATCAACGTTACATTACATGGCAAAAAGATGTATTAAAAATATATTAAAAAGGACTCTCCCTGGTGGCACAGCGAGTTAAAGCACTGCACTAAGAAGCTTAAGCCACTTCCTTTCGAGTTCGATCCCCGCCTGCCCCGGTGGAGATCCACAGGACGCAACAGACCTCTCCTGACCGCCTGCTGCTCCCCTCAGCAGTGTACTTCGTAGATCTGCCTGTACTGCTCCCCACTCTGCCCCTGGTGAATTCTCTCACCCTCTGCATCTCTGGCCTGTACCGCAGTTCTGTATGAATGAATAAATAAATCTTTTAAAAAAAAAAAACTAAAAAAGGTACATCAAAACTGAAAATGGTGTCATAGAAACCTGTAATTCTGAAAAGGAGTGCCTTTATTATTGAATGGTTTAAGGTAGTATAACACTTTCTGAGTGTAACAGTATTTTCTTATTATTTTGAATAAATTACTGCTGGCAATAATTGATTTATATCAAGTTCTAAGTTTGTTTAGTATTTCATCTATTTTCCTAGCAGTTAAGAGAGGGAACATGTCTTACTCTATTTAACCTCTTGGTCTTTCTTTGTTTTCCTTTCACAGGAACATACATGTTCACAGTATATCACAGAAATTGATATATATGGGTTGAGTTTTTGCCTATTCAGCATCATTCTGATATATATATTTCAATCTCTTAACTTATTTCAGTGATATTTTAGTACAATAAATGTTAAAAAGATGTAATGATCTATATTGTGAGTTTTTGAGGGACTTGGAGAAAAATAGTTCTTTGAAACTTAAGGGTTTCTTGTACACATCTCTATTAGTAAGTTTGGGTAGAAGGTTTAAGGAATATGTTATGAATCTTGACTACAACATATTTAAAAAAATAAAAAATTACAATATTATTTAAACCTTTAATCTGGTAAGAATATACAAATGTATTTGTTAGTTTAAAATCACAATCTATTAATATTCTGTTTGCATTTTTCGTAGTTTAAAAAGAATATGGATTGATTTAACCTGTTAATGTTCTATAAACTTTTTAATATTATTTAGTTAATAAACCGTGCTTTGAAAGAACTCATGGAAGTAGAAGAAATAAGTGAAAATGTATTACAAGTTCACCTAAATGGTAAGCATGTCATCATTTTGTTATTGCATGTGATATAAGTCATGTAAACATTTTATATTATATATATATTATATCAGCGTTCAGTTTAGTACACCATGCACAATACTTTCAGAAATTAAATAAAATAAAGGAAGCATAAAAGAACTCCAGTGTTTTTTCACCATTTTTACCAAATCTCTTCATGCTGAGTTTTAAAGAAGAAATAATGTAACCTGACAACCTATTATACTTTCCAGAAAATCTTAAAAGCACTTGAAAATTTGACTGGAAAATGATCTGCATTTTATCAGATTTTTCATTTTAGTTAAATACTGGTCAATGGACTTTATTTCAGGACTATTACAGATCAATGATAAAATTGCCCTAAAGGAAATCACAAGACAGTTAAATCTGGAAAATGTAGTTGAAGATAAAGTTTTTGTAAGTATCACTTCTATCCTTTTATTAAGTGTAAAGTCTATATAGTGTCATAATTTTGGAAATCTTGGGAAGGTTCAAAGATTTTGAATTGAACTTTTTTAATACTATGATGTGTCCATTCATAATATGTTTAGGTTTTTTTAAAAAAAATGATTTATTTATTTATGCTTCAGAACTGGGATACAGGCCAGAGGTGCAGGGCTGGTGAGAGGACTCACCAGAGACAGTAGAGAGCAGAACAGGCTGAATGGCAAAGTACACTGCTGGTCAGGAGAGGTCTGCCGCGCCATGTGGGTCACCCTTCGGGGTGGGGAATTGAATTCATACTGAAGTGGCTTTAGCTTCCTAGTGTTGTGCTTTAACCTGCTGTACTACCAGGGAGGGCCCATGTTTAGTTTTTTTTTTAAGTAAATTATACTAGCTGTATTAAATACATAAAAACATTATGGCTTTGTGTAGGTATCATTGGAATTTATTTCACTATCTATATTATAAATAGTCTGATTCTCTATCCTAGAGATAGATTTATTTATTTTTTAAATATTGCATTTTCTAGTCATAGGAGACATAGTAGCTTAAGAGTAGTGGGAAATATGCTAATTTGAAGCAACAAAAGTTATAGACTTCACTCTTTCAACAATTGGACCACCTGGTAATATTTCAGATTCTTCATCTGTTAAATGGACATTATTTTATTATATTTTTCAGTTCATTCTCAAAAAAGGCATTAAACATCATTTATGTTCTTTTATGCTCGATCAGAAAATGTTTTTAGAAATTTACCCATACTTCATATAACAGTTTGAAATCTCAAAGCATCATCAATTTAAACTGATTGGGAATGTTTGTAACTTTTATCAAACTTTAGCTATCACCTGATTTATAGGACTCCAGGGAAGCATGTTTAAGTTAATTTATAGTTGCCTTAATTTTCATGAGAAAATGACTCATTCTTTTATTTCTTACACAATTGAGTTGGGTTATATGCTCAAGTTCATTTTCTGATCACTAGTGACTATGCTGTTCTACCTCTTTGATCTCTCAAGGAACTGTGGTGATGGTACACAGCACAGGTGTACTGGTAGTGGGAACTTCATGGGCACTACACTTGAGATTAAAAAGCACTTGTACAAAAATGAAAAATGATGTTAAAACACACACACACACATATATATACACACACATACATATATATGTGTGTATGTATATAATGAATTACAAGCCAATTTGAAAATAGCTACTGAGTTAAAAAAAATCTCAGCTGTGTGCTCTATAGCCATAGTTTATATAAGCCTTGTAGCATTTATAACTGTATATATATATAAAATTACTGGACATGAATAAAATGCTGGACATGAAGAACCTGTAACTTAGCCCAGCTCTTTTTGTTTTTATATATAAAATATATCAGAGTATCAAATAGCAAACTTGTACATTTATACACTTACATGAATTTATATTTATTGTGTACATTCTTAATGTGCATATGTATTTATAGTAGTATGTACTAATTGTCAGTTGTAATAATCTACACACACTAAAAAAAAAAATCTTTGATTAACTGACCATAGTTTTTTTTCAACAGGTCTTTCAATCCTTTTCTCTTTCATCCTTTGTTTAAATTATAGCATAAACTGTTTGACCTATCTACTATGGAAATAGCACTGACTTGCTATCATACATTATGTGGAAACACTTAAAAATGTAAGCTGTTTATGCCAGTTTTCTTGATTGGAAAACAAACAAATGGGCTTCCCCCCCCCCTTCTTTACATCTTCAGATTTCAAGTTTGCAATTTCTTTAAGTTGAAAAATATAGTCAGAATTAGTGATTTGAATGAAAAATATTTTTAATGGGGCCTCTTTACAAAAACTAAACTAAAATATCTACATAATGCACTTGCTACTATAATTTCTATCTAAAATAATTTATATCCAAAAGTCTTTAGGCTGTATTCCCAGCGATCATAGTAAATTTGACATGATATGTACACACTCTATAATATACTCTTGAATAAACATTTTAACAGTATCTACTGATCTAAGCAGATTTGTTTTCCCTTTTCCTTTTGGATCTCATTTACATTCATAACTATTTTTTAGCAATATAAATTAGAGTCTTGCAAGAGACTGGTATTTTTGAAGGTACAAAATAAAAAAAATCAATATATTTCTAGTTTCTGACTATGTAGAGAAAATGATCTTTTCATATCTACCTTTAAATGAAGTTTAGTATGTTTTGCATCTTATCCCAAAAGTAAAAAATTTAAACATGTCATAGTAATGATGTTTTCTCAACTGAGCTGTTTCTGCTATTGCTATTTGCATTTTGAAAGCATAGATATACCCAGCTGAGGCTGGTGACTAGAAGAAAAATACATAGGTATCTATAATATATCTAATGGTTTGATAGTGCTCTTTTATTCTTCATTTCACTGAACTTGTAGTCATGGTTTCTTTTCTTCTTGCTATTCAGGGAAGTTTTGCTGAAAACCTTTCATTTCTTCTGGAAGCTTTAAAAAAAGGTGAATATTTGTTCCACATAATATCAAAAGAATAAGGTTGGCTCACTAGCTCTATACATAAAGATTAATTGGATTACTAACTATATACATGTAAGATAAATCTCAAATGGATTAAAGATCTAAATATAATACCTGCAAGTTATAATAGGAGAAAACATTGGCTATATGTTCTATGACCTCAGTCCTATGAAAATGGCAATAAAATGAACAATAAATAATGGGATTACCACAAATTAGAAAGCTTTTACTTAATGTTTAAAAAAGAAAAAGTTAAAAGATATCCTACTGAATGGGAGAAAATACACAACATTTAACTGGCAAGGGATCAGTATCCAAGATAGATAAAAACTTATTCATCTTACCAGTATATAGTAAATTACCCAGTTAATAAATGGGTGGGGGATATGAACATATAATTCATGAAAGGGGATAATCAGAAGTCAATAGATACATATCAATAGACAAAAATGTTCATCATCATTTCCAGTAAGAGAGAGACAGGTCAGAACACAGAAATACCATCTTACACCTGTGAGAATGGCACATATTAAAACAGCGTATAAAACTGTTGGTCAGATTGTGAACTGGTGTGGCGATAAGAAAAGCAGTTTGGATTCATCTTAAAAAACAAAATGTAAATACTATCTTTAACAATCCCACTCTGCCATGAACATAATATCATCAATGTATAAAGACTGTGTACTATAGTGTTTATTGCAGTGCTGTTTACCATGGTTATCACAAGGAGGCAGCCTAGATGCCCAATAATTTGATCAAAAAGATGTAGTGTATGCATGCTATGAAATACTGATCTTCGATGAGGACAGATTAAATGCAGTAATTTATGGCAAAATGGAAGGAAATTGAGGGGATTATATGAAGTAAAATAAGTCAGATTGATAAAACAAATAATATATATTTACTTCATGGTGGTTTGGGAAAAAAAAATACAAAAACCAGCACATGTTAATGAGCATATTGAAAAGGAAAGGTTAAAGCAGGGAAGCATATGTTTTATTATCTCTTGGAGTAAGTCTCCCTTTAGCTGATTCTTTGCACCATTTATCTAACACTAATGCCTTAAATCTTAAAGTAATAGTGATTGTCCTGTTAGTGTTTTTTCCGTTGTTGTGATAAGATAAATGAATCTATAGTTTTGCTTAATTTTCTGTTGTAAAATAGGAAAATTGTGATTAGTAGTTAAAGTGATTTCGTTGAAATTTCTAATTTAACCAGTATTTAATAAACATAATTTTTATGAGAGGTATACTTTTCATTTGTACCAACTAAATAAGTCTCTTGAAACAATAGTTTTGTCAAAAATTTTGATTACCATTTACTGTTAAAATTCTGGTCTGTGTTTAGCTATTAAAAGATCTTTGTCAGTTTGCTGATGATGGAAAAATGTTTCTATAATTTTAAAAAGTCCAGTCATTCTTAATTTTTCATCAGTAAGCTACTAGAACACAGTAATTAGATTTAACTACTTGAATGTAATAGAAGCAATTACAAAGAATAAAAATTTTTCCTCGAGAGTAATTTTTTTTCTTGTTGAATAAATATGTATATATTAGTAAATGCCTTACCCAAAGTAGGTTATCAATATATATGTGTTGAACTGAGTTTTTAAAATGGAAATTAAGTAAATAGGAAATTAAAGAAAGGTTTATATAATTGTTGTTGTGTTTTAGGTGACCGGACTAGTAGTTGCCCAGTGCTGTTCATTTTAGATGAATTTGATCTTTTTGCTCATCATAAAAACCAAACACTTCTCTATAATCTTTTTGACATTTCTCAGTCTGCACAGACTCCAATAGCAGTTATTGGTCTTACATGTAGATTGGTAAGTATTTCTATATAAAATTTTACTACAGTGTTTCACCAACACCTGGCTCACTTACGCCACTTTTCAACTCTGAGGAAAACAAGAAAACAGTTGCACATATTCATAACTAACCCTCCCTATCTGCAGTGGACATGTGAATTCAATGCAAAGAAATATAACTTTTACACTAGTTATAAAAGAGAAAGTTAACTAATCTCATAAGTGTTTTATCAAAGTCACTAATGGTTTCTACTCTTATATTTAAGACTTTCCATGTTTTAAAAATGTTTGTACTCAGCTCAAAATAATACTGCCCTAACTTTATAAGTATATATTACTAGAAAATGGAGGGGATTAGCTTTATTAAACTATCACTGTAGATAGTGGCTCTTTTGCCTTTACGGGATTTTAGAATGATTTTAACCAAGGTTTCAATGTCACTATCACATTAAATTTGTGAAGATGATGCATATTTAATCTTGTGTACTTTCAGATAGCTATAGAAACTTTTTGTCTTTCTGTTTTTCAGTCTCATATGAATTTACTGAATTCAGGTTTATCACCTCTTCATGCTATGACTGCTATGTGTGTGTGTGTAACTTTTTCCCTTCTCCGTTCCATTGGACTCATGTATTTTCTGTAGCTTTTTTTTTTTTTTTTTTTTTTTTTAAGAAACATGACTGTGTCTCTACTAAATCATTTTTAGCAACCCTCTTTCCAGTGCTGGTTTTGTTTTTGTTTTTAATGGTGTGATTTTTTTTTTCCTGGCCTTCTCTAGTACCTAGAAATTACATGATGTATGCCTTCATGTAAGTTTCCTTAATAGAACATATGGCTGATTTCTCTGCATATCTTTATTCTTCTTTGGGAAGGAAGCACTTTCCTCATTGCTGAAAATCTTCCTTTGTGTAGTATAGAGGTAGGAAATGTTACAGACCCAGTGAAGGATCAATTCAAGGGTCGGTTGCTCTTTAGCACTATTGTCAGAGGCTCTTTTCTTTATAATCTTTAACTGCAGTTTTTTCAAGTGTAATTAAATGTATGCCTCCATGTTTATTGGAAAAATGAAAAAAGGATAGCTGTAGTGTAGACTTTGGCATCAAACAGTCTTTTCCCTTTGGAAATAATTTTTTTTTTTTAATATTCATTCTAGGCCCATACTACCACCTATTCTTTACTGTCTACCTCCAAAACATCTTTTACAAATCTTTTGCAAAACGTCTTTGCAAATCCAAATTCAGGCACATTTTTTGGTATGTGTAGCATATTGCTTTAACTACTTTTCAGCCACCTACCTAAATGTGTGATCTAGAACTGTTCCTTAATAGAAAGTAGATGCACAATATTTCTGTCTCTGAACATAACTTTCTTTTTTCCCCTCCTATCTTGACACTATTTTTTAACCTATAAAAGTGCTTCATGTATTTCGTGAATATTGCTGCTTTTGTCCCAACCCAAGCTATTGATATTTTTGGTCTTCCTTCCCAAATTAACGAGCCCATTTGATCACTTGAATTCATTCTTCTATATCATTGCTTTCTTAACCTAGATTAATCATTGTGTAGGCATAAAAATCTGTTTTGGACCTTGCCATAGCTTCTTTAAATGTTCTTTTCTATTAAAAAAAAAAAAAAACTGGAAGTAAACTTGATTCTCAACTTTTAAGAAAAAGCACAAATAAGTAGTTTCTAAAATATCACTAAAAAACAGACTAACTTATTTCATGCTGCATTCCTGCTTCTTCTATAGTTTGTTACTTCTGTCCAGCATAATATCAGCTTAATAGGAGGATAGTTTCTGTGAACTGAAATTTTCTCTACCACACATGTTGCTTTTGAGACTTCGCTACATAAAATGATAAATATATTAAAATTTCATCTGTAGAATAACTCTCACTGCTTTTTGTATCTTAATTTTGCTCCTAATTCTTCATAAGATATATGAAATACCTTAATGAAACTGTTGATGTTACTATGCTATAATGTCAATAATAATTGTAAATTTTTTAGCATTTACTTTAGTTTGAAGATTAATTGAGAGTAACATTACAGGGAAAAGGCATGACATCATCAGCATAACAGTTGTTTAGAAAGGGACAGTTGCCATTTAAAGTAGCTTGCATGAAAGAATTTTGTGCCCTCTTGGTTTATTTGCAAGCCAGTTTTACATCTACTTTCTTGTAATTCTAAGGAGATCAAGGCAATTATTTGTGTTTTTAAACATTTGCATAAATATGTTTAATGCTAATTGCATATTACAGGATAAGAATTGCTAAATTTTAGGTGATAGTTTAAAAACTTAAATCTTTAACATGCTTGTGTTTGTGTTTTAACATTTATATGTTTGTTTTTAAGGATATTTTGGAACTCTTAGAAAAAAGAGTGAAGTCACGATTTTCTCACCGTCAGATACACATAATGAACTCATTCAGTTTTCCACAGTATCTTAAAATATTTAAAGAACAATTATCTCTGCCTGCAGAATTTCCAGACAAGCTTTATGCTGAGAAGTGGAATGAGCATATTCAGGTAACTTTGAACAAAGGCAGTAAGATGATTTTGTGTCTTCCTGTATCATTTGAAAGCAAATTTTTCTAAATACATTTATAAATTAGCAATGCTGATGTTACTGTGAAATAAAACTGATAACAGTAATTCTACAACTTTTGTTTTCAAGTTAGGAAAGATAGAAATATTCTGTCTTTAAATTTTTCTGTCAAGATAACTTTAATGAAGTTTTCTCTTTCTTTTGCTTAGATTTAGCTTATATTTTAGATTATTTCTACATACATTCTACATACGCAAATTATATCTTGGAATCCTTGGAACCCAGAGCATAGAGATAGAAAGGCACATTGACCTGTTTTAAAGATCTTGTAAACTCTGTAAATTTACCTATACTTTATTTGAGTTGTCTGATTTATACTAGTCTCTGTAATATCATCTGAATATATTAATATCAGTTTATTTTACACCCACAATTTTAATTGGTGGGAAGAGCAGAATGTGAATATGTTTAATAACAAATGAAAAACAGTGTTGATAGATACTACATGGAAGAATCTTTTTATTCAGAATGTGGGTTCTCTGAAAGGGGAAAAGAATAAAGACAATCCTTGGTTTTGAAATAATTGGGGTAAACTGTTGTATAATATTAAATACTAATGAATGAGAATGATCTCCAGATTAGTTAGGCAGTCAATTCACTGGTCAAAACAAAGGCTGCATCATATTAAAACAATAATGATAGATTGCATTCTTTTCTATAAAACCCCCTTTGTTCCCTTTTTTCTTATACTCTCATGTTTACCCTTTCCCACAAGAAAATTTTCTGAGTTTTTTTGTTTGTTTTAATTCAGGTAACATTGGTTTATATTGTTCATGTTATATCTATATAATCTCCCCCTTGAAGTGTTGTTACCATAACACATCAGTCATTAAAATAAGCATAGTTCACCACCAGAATCACTGGTACACCCTTTCCACTTTGTTTTTCCCTCTCCTTCACCATCTTCACTAATAGCCTCAGTTCTACAGTCAGATTCCTAGAATCTGTTACTGGTTTGAAATTTTTGATCCTTTGTTTTGTTTCATTACATTCAACATAGAAGTGACATCTTGGCTTTCTCTTGACTTATTTCACTCTTTTTGATTGCTGAGTGGTATTCCATTGTGTCTAGATATCACATATTTTTGAGCCCCTCATCTGATTTTGGCCACTTACATTGTTTCCCATAGCTATGGCTATTGTAAATAACGCTGCAGTGAAAATGAAAGTGCACGTTTCTCTTCAAATTAGTGTTTTTGCATATTTTGAACAAATACCAGAAGAGGAATTGCTGTGTAGATCCATATGGGAGATCCATTTTTAATATTTTGGTGAACCTCTATACTGTTTTCCGTATAATCAACATTCCCACCAACAGTGTAAGAGGGTTCCTTTTTTTGACATCCTTGCTAACACTTGTTAATGGTATTTTTGCTATGAGCTATTCTCACAGCTATGAGGTTGTATCTCTTGTTTTACATTTCCCCAATGATAGGTACTGAGTATTCATGTTCCTGTTAGCTATCTGTGTCTTCATTGGAATGGTGCCTATTTAGCTATTCTATCTCTTGACTGGGTTGTTTTGTTTTCTTACTGTTGTATAAGTGTGATTGATCTGATAACTGATATCTGCCAGTTATATGGTGTGCAGGGTGCTTTGAACAGGGTGTCTTCTCTTTCAGTGATAGTCTGCTATACAAAGTCTTTTCTTTAGATGTTCTGTTTCTTTGAAGAATGCCATTGAGATGTTAATAGGATTTGTATTGAATCCACATAGTGTTAGGTAATATAACCATTTTAATGATGCTAATTCTTTCAGTCCATTAATAGGGAATATCTTTACATTTCTTTGTGTTTTCTTTTAGGAATGTGTCTTACCAATGTCTTAAAATTTTCTGTGTATAGGTTCTTCATTTGATTTGTTAATTCTACTTCTAGGTATTTAATTATTTTGTAATATAATTGTAAAGGTCAAAAAAGTCTTTTTTTTTTTTTTTTTTTACTGCTTCTAGCTCATCGTTTGAATATTGGAAGGAACTGATTTTTGTGTATTTATTTTGTAACCTGCCACTTTGCTGAACTGATTTTTTTATTCAATTCAGTTAGTTTTTTTTTTGATCTTAAAGTTTCCATGTGTAGTATGTTGTCTCCAAATGATAGCTTTATTTCTTTTATATATATTTCTCTATATTTTCTTTTATATATTTCTCTAATTGTATGCATTTTATTATGTTTCATTCCCGGTTTTTAAGGGGTTTTCATCATGAATGTATGTTGAATCTTAGCACATGTTCTGTCTGCATTAATTAATAAGATCGTGCTATTTTTTCCCTTTTATTAATGTTAATTACATTGATTCAGATGTCGAAAACATCTTTGTGTCACTGGAATAAATTCCATTTGGTTATGGTATATGATCCTTTCAATACATTGTTCAGTTCAGTTCAATTCAGTGTAACTTGGGTTGCAGATATTTTGATGAGGATTTCTGTATGTTCATTAGGGAAATAGGTCTGTAGTTTCACTTTGTGTGTTCCTTATACAGAATTGTATGTAAAAATGACTCACTTTATTAAAATTCAGATATTGTGCCATGATACATAAAGGAAAACTTAAGTTTTCATAAGTTTATCTTGCCTGGGACTCAGATACTTGTTTAGCTCAGGCAGTTTTCTTTTGGGACTGTACCCTAAGTTTCTCTCCTTTAGAATCAATCATAGGTCATACTCCCACATTGTCCCTCCCATTTCTGGGTCTGAGTAGATCAAAGCTTCTGTATCTTTCGCCTCTGGATCCACTTTTCAACACCTTGTGAGCTTTTACCTTCTACAACTTCTGAACTTATGTTATAGCAGCATTTTTTTTTTTTTGACTGCTTTAAAAATCCAAGTACAGTCTTCTGTAGTATTTAAATATGTTTTCTTGGACCTGAATTATTTCTATTCCTGCTCACTTTCTTCTTAAGGAGATGGCATCACTCAGGTTGTACTGTGTCACCCTCCTTTCCACTGTTGCCTTCTGAGCTTTGCAAAGTGAGTATATATAGGAGAAGTTGATGACTCTGGAAATGGTAGTCATGTGGCAGTAGAGTGACACTCTTAGGTTTTTTTGTTTCATTTTGCAGATATCCTACATCCCTGAATTTTGATTCTGGTTGTAGGACTGAATGTGAGCAGTAGCTTGTAATATTTTTGAAAATCTTGCTTTTCTTCATAAGATAGCACTAGTGCTACTAGAATTTGGATGCGTAGTAATAATATTTTCTTCCCTTATCCTGATCTCCATTTGCCACCTTCCTTTATTATACTAATAAATGAACTTCACTTGAAAAATTTGTCAGCACCATGGCCAGAGACCGGGTCCTGGATTTGTGAGGAACGTAATTGAAGGAGCTATCCTTTTTCTTGGTGCTGACTATCTAGCGAGTTTTTCTGATTTCAAGATTACACAAAAGTATTGGTGTAGATACAGGAACCTTTGGAAATCTCATCTAAGAAGTATCTTCATGGGCCTCCCTGGCTGCATAAGGGGTTAAGATGCAGCACTATGAAGCTATCCCTAGCCACTGCAGCACCAGTTCAATCCCCAGCCAGTGAGCTAATCCACTTGGCACAGCAGACCTCTCTTGTCTCACCTGCTCTTCCTCAGCAGTGTATTTCAGTTGATCTGCCTATTCTGTTCCCCATTCTATCTGTAGGGAGCCCTCTTCCTTCCCCACAACTCTGGCTTGTGCCCCCAGTCTTGTATGCACAAATAAGTAAATCTTTAATAAAAAAAAA